GGGGGGGGGGGGGGGGGGAATGACCGGATGGAGTAGTGAGCACTGAAGGTCTGAGCGGCCCGAGCTCACAGGCTGGCCAGCCTTAGTTCCTGACAGCCCTGTGCCAGCATCGACTTCAAATGCAGGCCCGCCCCAGTGCCTGTTTCCTTCCACCCTCCAAGCCAGCAGCTTCGTCTTTGAAGATGGAACGAAAAGTACAGGTCTACGGCACCACCTTGCCAAGAACGGTCTGGAGGTCCCATTCTTCCTCTCCTCTGCCAGCCCCCAGCCTTCCTGCAGCCGGGGTGGCAATCCCATCTTAGGAGCATCTCCTCAACACACAAGCTTTCCTCCCTACAGTCCCTTCTCCTAATTCCAAGCTCAGACACCCAAAACTTTGGCTTCCTTCTGGGTTACGCCCTAATCCTCAGACCACATTTCCTGCCCTGCATCCAATCCATAAGTAACAACTACCAACCACGTGCCTGATACTTGTTTACACAGGTATTTCCGTCTTTTCACTTTCCAAGTCTAGAAAACGGCTGCTACTACCAGACTCTGCTTACAGATTTAGAAAAGGAGACAGGTAGAGACCCAGCTCAAAGGCTTAATATTTTTAAATGGACTGGCAGAGTGTCTGCCACGAGACAAAGTTACAGTTAACACTCCTCCCCATTAAATCGGATCTTCCCCGAAGGACACATCCTCGCCCCAAAGCCTCGTCAGATAGCTGGGACCGGCGGAGCGGGCAGGTTCCTCTTCCAAAGGCCGGCTTCCCTCCCGGGGCCCAGTTCGGGCTCGGAACCCGGCCCAGTGTGCCTTGCTAAGCCGCCCCACAGGGCCTAGCTCGCCTAGACGGATTCCAGGCCGCCCCCTCCGCTGCCTGGGCCCCCGCAGGCTACAGCCCAACCCTGCCCAGGCCTTCACCGACCTGCTCCGTCGTCTCGTTGACGAGAAAGAGGACGGTTGAGCCGGAAACCGCCGGTTCGCCGCCGAGGGCGCCTGCGCACCGAGCACGCTGCGCGTCTGCGTCACAATCCGCGCCGCGCCCCGCCCTCGGCCCCGCCCCGCTCCTATGTTGGGTGCTGGCGCACGAAGCCGCGGCGTGTGTGAGCGACCGGTGCCCACCTGCCTCGGGGTGCGAGCTCCGCCCGTCGGGTCACGTAGGAATAATGCCGCACCTTTCCTGGTGTTTCTGCTCGCTGTTTCCAGGCCGCCTGAAGACTGCCCGCACGTAGCGGGTGCCCCGGAAATATTTTAACAGAGTAGGGGAAACTTTTGTGCTAAAATGGAGGCATTAAGCAGAGGGTCTGCGGGTCCAAGACGCAAGGGTCGAGGCAGGAGGCGGCGTAAGGGCCGAACGTGTTGGAGCCACTGGAGGCCGGCCGCTGTGCACAGATGGATTAAAGGGCGGGTCCGTACAGGAGCACGGAGAGCAGGTGGGGCTGGTGCATTCACCCAAGGAAATGGGGTGGGACCCAGGGTCTGTTTAGGATATAAGACGGAGGAGACTCAAGGATGGCTAAAAAGTGCTGGGCGCAACTGAGAAGTTACCTGTGGGTTTGGCAGCGTACCTTATTTCCTTGAACACTTCCCGGCGCCTCCTATGGACCAGGCAAAAGCAGACACTCTGAAGTCTGGGAAGAGGCCTTTAATAACATAATTTCTAAGTGCTCCAAAGATGAGGGGACTCTGTGAGAGTGTCTGATGGGCAATGAGACCCCAGCTCCTTGAGGAGCCCACCTTAGGGCTGAGATTTGGAGGAGGAGTTACTCAAGGAGGTAAAGGAATAATGTTGTGGGCCCTGGGAATAGCACCTTTGAAGGCCTGGTTGGTGATAGGAAGTGGGGTTATTATGGTTGCCACCACTGGAGACTCCCACTCAAAGCAGAGGAGCCCACTTCTTTCCAGCTCAATGGTGCCTGGCTGTCCATAACCATCCTGTCCCACATCCAGCACTTGCCCCCATTCTGGACTGCTGGGCCCAAGGATGGAAGGAAGCCACTGCTAGGTGCACCCTTCCCTTTTTAGTAACAGAGTCGTTTTATTGATAACTTCCCAACAGCATCTGTAAACATCGGGTACAAAAATATTCTGCTTAACTCTGTTCTCCAAGGTGGCTCGGCTTGCTCCATGGAGGCCCCAGGAGAAGCCTGCTGGGCCCTCAGGGTCCACACTTCTGGTCCGAGAAACAGGGCCTAACCAGGCTCGGTGCTGAGTGGATGGCTAATCTCTGCCTTGAGGCTTCTACAACTGTCTCAGAAACCTCTTTGAGATAATGATTGGAGAAAGTATTCAATACTGTCATTGGAGGAAGGGGCAAGGAGACCAGAATTAGTAGGCACAGGGGTGGGCTGGGGTGAACTCAGACATGACAGTGCTTGGCCACCCTGAGGAGGTCCTGACTGACCAGGGTGCTGGGGCAGAGGACATCTGGCTCTGGTCTCTGGGAACCTTTAGGTGTTGCTCAGAGCAGACCTCAGGCCTGGCTCTGCACCCAACCCGACTCCAGCTGGACTGGTCATCCCCTGGCCTGGCAGAGGGGTCTACAGAAGAGAGATGTTCTCAGTGAGGGAGGAGGAGGAATGATAGATCCCCAGGAATTCCATACCCCAGGGAGGGAGCCTTGTCCCCCAGTGAGCCCCAAATGACAGAGTAGGGTGGCAAAGCTGACTGTCTCAAGGCAGGGTTACCCACTGCCACCTCAGACATCTGGGCAGAGGCACCGCTGCTGCCCTGAGACCCGTCCGAGCTCCTGGGAGTAGGGCTACTCGCCCGGCGTCTCCTCGTCATCTGTATGGCTGTGGCCATTGATGGCAGGGGAGCCGGGCCGGACGTGGGACAGGTCCTCAAAGCCGGGGCTGAGGGAGGGCGAGACTGTGTCGGGGCTGGTGTCACATGAGCCTGTGCTCTGTTCCGAGGTGGCAATGGTTGTTGTGGTGCTGGGCGGGATGGGGTCTTCATCTTCGTCTTCCAGGAGGGACGCCTCCGGGATGTCTGGGGGAAGAAGGCCCAGGAGTTGGCTTAGTCACCATGCCAGGCACTGTGATGAGGGATTAACTGGGCCCGGGACCCCTGACAGCTACCCCCACCCCATGGGACATAACTTGGTTCATTTTACAGATGAGGAAACCGAGGTCCAAGCAGGTGAGAGGCCTCTCTTTAAGGTGAGGTAAGGTAAAGACTCAGGTTCTCTGGGGTTAGGCCTACGCGGGCCCTGGGGGCAAGTCTGAGCCTGGCTCTGCCCTCTTGACTGTGTCACCTGGGCCAGGCCCCTCACCTGCCCGTGTCTCAGCTCCCTGCTCTATAAACTGGGAATGATGGCATTGCCTTTATGCCTGTGGTTGTCAACGGCCCTGGAGTGGGGAGCTGTTGGCCCATTCTGCAGACTGGGTAAACTGAAGCTCAGCATGGAGGACGCTGTGCTTCCTCTGACAAGTCACTGCCCCTCTGGGCACAGTCCCCACCTCATAGGTGTTTGTGGGTAACAGCCTGGCTTGTAGGGGTACGTGACATTCACTGGGCTAAGGACTGTCATCATTCTTGTCCACATTCCCTCGTGTGACCTCCCCCAAGGGAGGAGGCTCTAGTCCCAACACCTGCTCTGCAGGTTGCCAAGAAGATCAGGCCAGCACTCCCGCCCCTGCCCCAGGCCTTACTGGACCCACTGCCCACTAGGGCCTGGGCTTGGTGTCAGCCCTTGAGGTGACCTTCCAGAAGCCAGCCCTGGGCTGAGGGCCCTGGCATCCAAGGGCACAGAGCCCAGAAGCGGGATGTAGGAGCTCTGGGTGACACTTACGGCTGAAGGCCTCCGGGTGCTGCCTGGCCAGCTTCCCTTTCAGTGTCCTGCAGGGGAAGGGAAGGCACACAGGGCTGAACCTGCAGAGTGTGCAGGCTGGGCCCGGTGCAGGCCAGGAACCTCCCCCTCACTGCTTGTCATACTCTGCTCCAGGGCTGGAGGTAGGACTGGGCGCTCAGCCAGCGGACCTCCCGCCCCCAGGACGGATGGCAGCTACCCAGCTGTCACCCAACTTCTGCGTGTCCTTGGTGCTGGCCCTGCGCGCTGGCTGGGCCCTCTACCTGCAGTGCCTCATGTCTGAAGCTCTTCTACCAGGACAACCTTCCAGGAAGCTTCCCTTCCCCTTGCCTCAACAGGCACTCCTCTGGGTGACTTGTCCTAGCCTGTCTCTCCATCCCCGGGGTGAGGATGTCTGTGGGGGCCAGGAGTGCTGACTATCCACACCCCAAACACCGAACACAGGCACTCACCAAACTGAACTTCACAGAGAAGCACCTGCTTCCCTTTTTAACCTGGTTCTTCCTTTTTACCTGAAGTAACGCAGTTCTGTTTACAAAGAATTACAAAAGGCTCTTCAGAGCAGTCTCTCACCCTTGACTATGGCCAGCCAGCACTGTCCCCCACAAACCCCACCCCCCGAAGTACCACTGCTGCTGCATCCCTGCCTGGGTGGACACACTTATCTCCTTCCTGAGTGACACAGATACACACAAAAGGTGTCAACCCTTGTGGTTCCTACTCTACTCCCACCCCTGCAACACCACACGTGGGCAACCAGCCTGGTGAGATGCCCCAGAAAAGATACGCTTTGATAAAGGATTTATCCAGCCTGTCTTGTGATTTCTGCACAGAGCATGCTCCAAGGAAACATGCTGCCCTCAATCTGTGGCACCTGCTCTGCCAGCAGATGCGGCTGCCCGGGAAAAGAAGCAGCGGCACAGTCAGCCAGAAATACAGCTGTAGTGCCAGCTTGTTCCAGGCCTCGGCGCCCCAGCAGCAGTTGTTAACGGCAGCAGTGGTGATAGGAGCTCCGGGGGCCATGTCAAGCATTCTGTGTGGCTGGGGACTTGGACATCGTCTTTCTCTGTCCTCATGGAAACCAGCTTGAGAAGGACCTGCAAAACCTGGCAATCTCATTTTCCTCTTGAGAGAAGTCCTGGGTGGAGGCCAAGGGGGACATAAGGCTAGCCTTTCACTGTCTGCTCCTGCCTGCCTTTTGCATTATGGGTCTGGCACTATGTTGCATTATCAAAAAAGGAATAAAATTTAAATTCAGAAACTCCAAGATTTTCAGATCTTCTCTAATACTAAGTGTGCAATGAAGCCTCGTAAAACAAGCTGAATCCCCCCCACCGCCCTGCTATGTGGAGAGGACGGCGCTCATTGAAAAGAGGAGGAACCCAGGCTCAGAGGCTCAGAGCAGGAGGCAGAGACTGGAGGGCCAAGCACCCACCTGATCCTGCGGAAGATGCTGTCCAGGTCCCGTTTCATCTCCACCAGGGTCCTTGTGTGGTGCAGAAAGCGCTCGCTCATCTGCTGCAGGCGGGCACTTGACAGGTTGTTGAAGTTGAGCAGCATCTCATTCGTCTTCTCAAAGCGGTCCAGCCTGGTGGCGGAAAAACGGCACCGACTCCTCTACTTAGCCTCCAGGTCCCTGCCAACTGATCCTGCTAGGCCCTTTCCTGCTCCATGACCTTTGCGTAGACCATTCCCTTGTCTTGTGGAGCTCTACCTGGTGTTTGAGCCAGCTAGCAAACTCCTATTCAACTTTCAAAACCCTACTCAAAAATCCTACTCAAGTGTACCCTTCTCATGTAGCCTTAACCCTCTCCCTCAAGTAGACTCTTTGACACTCTGACTCCCCTAGCCCCAGCTTCTTTCTCTAGCCCAGCCCTGACACCCCGAGACAAGGAAGGTTCAATTCTGATTTTGTCTCCCCTCGGTCTGGGAGTTCCCCAGGGTCAGGTCCGAATCTGAACTAAAGACCTAGGAGGGAGATGGGTGTGCTGAGACCCAGACATATCCAGCACCACTGTCACAGGGCAAGAAAGGTAAGGTATCAGGTCTGTGCTGTGTTGTAAATGGAAGGAAGAGCCTTTGGCTTAAAGACACAAAAATAAAGCCCCAGGAGACCATGTTTCCCCCCGAAGGTTGTGTCAGCCCTTCTTCCCCACAGAGCAGGCCGGAATTAGGGTGAGGCTATGGTGGCCACAGTGCCAAGCCCCAAAGAGGGCAAAGGCCATTCACAGCCCTTCCAAGTGACCCTGGGTGCTCTGCAGAGACAGCCTAGGCTCTGAGAGAATAGGTTCCCAACAGGAAGTGAGCCGACTGGCTCCCTTAAATCCCCCAGCAGTTCCTTCCTTATCCCCCTCAAGTCTCCCCACCCCAGGCCTCGGGAAAGGAGCTGCTGTGGTCCCCGCCAAACTGTCCGCAGCTGCAAAACTGTCCCAGAGCCCTGCTTCCTGTGCCAAGGCCTCGCCTCCAGACCAGGAAGGAATTTACTTTGTAGCCAGCCAGCAGATTTGCTCATTTCCTTCATTTTATCACCAGTGTGGGCCCGGGGTAGAGGCGGGCAGGGCAAGAATGCTGGCCAGCAAGTGGATTCCTTCCCATACCGGGGACCCAGGGCCCTTGGCTTCCACTCACATGTTCTTCTGGGCCAGGATGATGGCGTTGACATCGTCTGCATTTACCATGCTCAGGATGCGGCTACAGAAGACCCTCGAGGCCGAGTCCGGGGGGTCCATCTCTTCCTCCTCCTCCGCTGCCTGAAACAGGCAGGAAGAAAGTGTTTTCAGTCTGCATCAGGAAGTGAGGGGAGGTGGGATGGAGAGGAGGGGCTGGGAACCCCACAGGCCACCTGTCCGTAAGTGGGTCATGCCACCTGAGCCTCAGCTTTGTCATGCCAGGAACTTGGGGGTGTTTCGAGAACCACAGGAGTTCCTATTTATAACTTGCACCCAAGCACATCACAATCCCGTCACCCCTCCCACCTCCACACCTGCCCTTCTCCATGTGCCCAAAGCTACAGGCACCTTCCTCCTGAATAGATCTGCCCCCCTCGTCCTGGCTGCCCCCTCAAATCATCACCCCCTCCAATGCCTTTTCTCCCAAGAGGTCTTTGATGACTACCCCTATTCTGGTCACTCATCACTTCACCTTTTTTTAATTGCTCCACTGTCTCATCTCTTCCTGAAATTATCTTAGTTATCAGTTAACCCTTTTGCCTGTCACCCCCACAGCAATATTAGCTCCAAGAGAACAGAGGCGTTGTGTTCTTTCTTGCTCGCTGCTCTGTCTCCAGAGCCCAGCCCAGAACCTTGTTCACAGCAAGGGATTGCCCGAATTTAGTTTGATGAAGGCAAACAGAACCTTTCAAACTCAGCTCTGAAGCTAGACTTATATCAGCAAGTTAAAGCCAAGAATTTCAGGCACTGGCAGCCAGGCTGTGGGCCCCAGCAACCCAGATGGCTCTGTGGCTCTTGGCTCCCAGCTTCCCTGGCACACAGATGCTATCCCAGCAGGTGGGGACTTCCTGGACCATGCTAGGGCAGAAGGGACCACAGCTTCAGCACTGACCCTCCTAAGGAGGTTCAGGAAAAACCCAGAATCCTGATGTAGCTTGGCTCTGAGGTCTGCACGTTTAATGGCCGACAGAAAGGCCCACTTGCAATTGGTTAAGATTCACACACAGGATCAGGAAGGGCTTTCAGAGCCCACTTAACTACCCTCCTCTTTATTGAGCACCTACTGTATACTAAACAAGACACCAATTTCAAACACTGGCAATTGTTACCATCCTTATTTATATATGAGAAAATTGAGGCTCAGAGACTGATGAACTAGGCCGTTGTCACACAGCCAGTGAACATGGGTCACAACTCAAACACCCACAGACCACAGGATCCACAAATATGTGACTCTGACGTTCAGTAGCTACCTGTGACAGGACAGCTGCTTCTTACAGCACCTGATTCCTGCCAGACTTCTGATTGTTTCCAGAAATAAACCTGAAATAAGGATTTCTTTTTCCTGTGAAATCGCCTCATTTACAAATGTTAGCAACTCATATTTTTCTTACCCCAACACCATAGAGGCCAAGAGTACGTATCTATCTGTGCCCAGAATCTGGCTATCAGTTTGCAGCCATTACGTGCCTTCTGGAGATAAACTGCCACACCTGATGAAATCCACCCCTTCCCCAATCACCATGTTTGAGCTCCTTCTATGTGCCAGGCATGGACACCCACACCCTCCACATTTCCAAAGAAGATCATGTATAAAGAGGACACTTGGGCTCTCAAAGGACAGAATGTGGCGGGAAGCCCACAGCTAGAGCCTGGCAGGTGCAGGATTTGAACCTGTGGGAAATGGTTCTGCTACAAAGATGGGCTCTTTCCTGTCTCTGGCTCCCAGATGAGAGGGCTGAGGGATTCAAGGCACACTCCCCCAGCAGCTGCCTCTCACAGGAAGCCTTCCCTGACTAACTGCTAATCTGGCCCACATACAGAGTGGAAATGACCCAGCATGGGCTCTTATCCCTGCTCCAAATATATTTATGGGGGACACACGCAGAGAGGGAGACTGTGTGACCTTGGGAGAGTCACCTCACTTCCTAGATCCATTTTCTCACCCAGAAAATAGGTATAACAAAGAATCTGAATCTCACGATGCTGTCTGTGGGGACTAAAACCAATTAGTGCTAAGAGGTGCTGGGCTCGGAGCAGTCAGTTTCTCCAAGTGGAGTGTGAAGAAATCCTAGGACAGGGCCCGGGAATCAGTATTCTAATGAGGGCCTCCCTAGTGCTTCCAAGAATACTGAACAAACACTTATATAGCACTTCATTTAATCCCTAGTCTCCCCTACAAGGGCATCTCCGAGGGCACCTAAGGCTCCCAGGGGTGGGCTCAGGTCACACACCAATACGGAGAGGCGCCGCAACTCCACCCAAGTCATTTAACAGAATTTAATTTGGCTGCCCGAGCTCAGCAAAACCCACGAGGCGGGGCGGGGCTCACAAATCCCCTCATGCCCCGCCCCTGTGAAGAGGGAAACTGAGGCCCAAACTGGTCAACGCCCGATTCCGGGAGACACGGCACAGCCTGAACACAGGGGGCCCCAACTCCCGCGCCTCGGATCCAGACTCGGCCCATGGCGCCGCCCGCGCGTCCACCGCGCAGACGGGGAAACTGAGACCTGTGCGCAGGAGGGGTGCCCAGATGTTGCCAGCGGCGCGCCCCACCCCGCTACAACCCGAGGACCGCGCCCGACCCGGCCCGGCTCCCCAAAGGCCCCTGCGTCCCCAGCCCCAACCCGAACTCGGCCCCGGCGTCGGTGGCAGCAGCACCTGCACATCTGGCGGCCTTGCTCGCGCTTCCGGGATGGCGCCCGCGCCGCCGCGACGTCACCACGCACCATGCGTGCGAGCGCGCGTGGCGGCGACGTGCCCTGGGCTGACTTGCGTGCGTGGAGGCGCGGCAGGAACGGGTGGAGCTTAGATGCAGCTTCTATTTGCGGGTGCATCACAACAAATAGCCAATCAAGCAGTCTCTCTCGCGCCTGCGTAGTTTCCAAAGCCCGAGCTCCAAGGCAGCCCGGAAGGGGGGAGGGGAATGGGGAGGGAGGATGAAACAACCAATTTTATAGATGGTAAGACTGAGGTCCGAGAGCGGCAGGCATTCCCACAGGGTCATATAATCCTCGAGTGGCCTGTGGTGGATCCAGACACAAATGTTCTGCTTTCCAGGCTGGGAATCAGACTCACTCGGGTTCAGACACCCTGCTGCGTTTTTGGTAACCTTTTTCTGGGCCAGGATCCTGCATTGCATTTAGTCATGTCTCCTTGGTCTCTTCCACTCTGTGACAACTCCTGTCTGTCTTAATCTTTCATGACCTTAATACTTTTGAAGAGTATTGGTTTTGTAGAATACCTAACATTATGGGTTTGTTCAATATTTCCTCATGATTAGACTGAAGTTGAGCAGCTTGGGAAAGAATCCCACAAAAGTGATGTTGTTTCCTTCTCAATGCATCATATCAGGAGGCACTGGGATGTTGATATGTCTCATTGTTGGTGACGTTAACTTGGATTACTTGCTTAAGGCAGTGTCTACCAGCTTCTCAACTGTCAAGTTACTATTTTCCTTTGCAATTAATAAGTATCCTATGGGGGGATACTTAAGAGACCATGTAAATACCATTGGTGTTTTGGTCTTGGTTTTTTTGTTGTTGTTGTTTACATATTTTTCACCCTTTAGTTTTAGCATCCATTCATGGCTCTTGGCAGCAATAATGATTACTTACTATGTGTTTGCATAATGGTGATTTTTAATTTAATTATTAATTGGAATTCTGTTGTAAACAAGAGCTGTCCATTCTTCTCAATTATGTATTCAAGTATTTATATCACTATGGAGTCATGAGTATTTATTTTATTCTGTGGCTTATAATTAATTTCTATATTATTTATTTTACTGCCCCTTTAATTTAGCTCCTATGTCCTTTTAATATGTCTCCATGTTTCTGTGAGTACGTCCTTACTTTTGGCATCACAAGATGTTCTGTGCTTGCTTTGGAATATCCCTGGAATCAGCCATTTCTCCAAGGAGCCTGGTTCTGCTTCTTGGAGAATGGTATTTAGAGACCAAGATCTGGGTGCTGGGTATGCTCACTGCTACCCAGGTATTATTGCTTAGAGACCCTCTCAGCAGTCAGAGCTAGGAAATACATGTATGTCTACTAACCCATGCATATACACCTCTATTTTTAGTTCTATATCTGTTCCCTTGTGTCTCTACTGAAAACCATGAGTTCATACTGAGATGAGGATGTATTAAGTGAGATAACCCAAGTTAAATGCATGAACAAAATGGGGCAAATAGTAATTGCTTGATAAGTGTTAGCAATTATCATTAGTTTCTGAGGTCTTATGAAATGTATGTTATATATTATATGTCTGATTTTTCTGTGTCTCAGTTGATTAACTGTGAGTCTGGGTGAACCTAGCATCTGCCTCTTAAGGTTGCTAAGAGCTTGAGAGATACACACATACCCTTGGGCACATGGAAGACTCTTTGAGAGCCCTGGAATTGGCATATCTGAGTTCTAATTCCAGCTGTCACATCCTAGCTGGGTAGCCTTGAGCAAGTGGCTTAACCTTAAGAAATCATGCAGGTTAATTCCTTACAAGAGGGGTCCCCAACCCCAGGCCGTGGACCAGTACTTGTCCTCGGCCTATTAGGAACCAGGCTGAACAGCAGGAGGTGGGCGGCGGGTGACCAAGCAAAGCTTCATCTTCTACTCGCCATCACTCCCCATCACTCACATTAGCACCTGAACCATTGCTGGCATTACAGCCTGAACCATTGCCCCACCCCACCCACATCCGTGGAAAAATTGTCTTCCACGAAACCAGTCCCTGGTGCCAAAAAGGTTCGGGACCGCTGCCTTACAACAGAGTTTGGCCCATTGTAAGCCCTTGGTAAACTGAGGGTAAACCCTATTATTACTCTCACACTCTCCTGCCTTCATTCATTGAAAAGTAAATGATGATCAGGAATCTTATACATTCTTATAGTTCAACTAACAGTTTTGAAAATTGTTCAGTAAACCCTCTAGTCACCCCTTCTGGGTTTGGCCCATATTCTGAGAATCCAGAAAATACTCAGTCCCTGCCTAGCCTTGGAGGATGAAGGAGAGTCTGACACAGACAATCCCAGCCCTGAAGGGAACAATGTTGGGTTAGAGGGAGGAGAGACTCAAGGCTGGAGGAACGTACAGAGTGGGGTTTGAGGACTTCTGAAGGCCAGGAAGCAGGTACATCTGGATGGAGTTTTGAGGTAGGATTAGGAGTTTTGTAGGTGCTGACAATCATTCAGGACTGAGGGGATCACAGGAGCGAAGACAGGATGGTGGGAAAGCACATAGTGTGGATTTGATCTTTTAAGAATTGTGGAGCTCCATGAGCCAGACAGCAGCCAGTGCTGAGAAGAGCCTGGGTGGCGGCTGCTGGGAAAAGTAGAACTGTGGCTCTGTCTGCATGGCTTTGCCAAGCTGTAGCAGAAAAGGCCCAGACTGGAGAAACCAAGCTTTTCAACGGGTCTCTTGGGCTCTGTTGGAAGCCAGGGAACAATTACGAGGGTCCCGGAAGGGGTGGGGGCTGCACATTGAAGCCAAAAGGGACTTGGCTGGTCCAAAATGTTTTCCTTTCTTATTGTGTTTAAATTTTATTTATTTATTTTCTTGGCTGTGTTGGGTCTTTGCTGCTGCGCGCGGGCTTTCTCTAGTTGCAGTGAGCCAGGGCTACTCTTCGTTGCAGGGCGCAGGCTTCTGATCGTGGTGGTTTCTCTTGTTGCTGACCACGGGCTCTAGGCGTGCGGGCTTCAGTAGTTGTGGCACATGGGCTCAGTAGTTGTGGCTCGCGGGCTGTAGAGTGCAGGCTCAGTAGTTGTGGTGCACGGGCTTAGTTGCTCCGTGGCATGTGGGATCTTCCCAGACCAGGGCTCGAACCCATGTTCCCTGCATTGGCAGGTGGATTCTTTTTTTTTTTTTTAATTTTATTGATTGATTGATTGATTTTTGGCTGTGTTGGGTCTTCATTGCTGTGCGCGGGCTTTCTCTAGTTGCAGTGAGCGGGGGCTACTCTTCGTTGCGGTGCATTGGCTTCTTATTGCTGTGGCTTCTCTTGTTGTGGAACATGGGCTCTAGGCGCACAGCCTTCAGTAGTTGCAGCACGCGGGGTCAGTAGTTGTGGCTCATGGACTCTAGAGCATAGGCTTAGTATTTGTGGCACACAGGCTTAGTTGCTCCGCGGCAGGTGTGATCTTCCCGGACCAGGGATCAAACCTGTGTTCCCTGCATTGGCAGGCAGATTCTTAACCACTGCGCCACCAGGGAAGGTCCCCCCCACCCCCACCTCTTCTGACTGGGCAGCCTTCCTTCCTTCCTTCCTTCTTTCCACAATGATTTCCCTGAATACCTCCCCCTGTTTTGTGCCATGCAGTATGTAGGCCTCAGGACTAAAACAATAAGAAACAATGTACCCTTCTCAGATTTTGGGGGTCTTCCAGTCTACCGGGTGAGGCAAAAGTCAACTGATGGCACAGACACAAGTGAATCAGTTATGAAGTGGAGGTTCATTTTACCAAGACTGCAGCCAATCAGAAGACCTGGCCTTGCCATGGGGAGGTCAGGGATGGCTTCCAGTAGGAGGTGACCTTAGAGCACCTAGCTGACAAGCTACCGCCAAAAGCCAGTTACCTTCTCCAGTGTTAGCTACCTCCAAAAGCCAGTGTCCTGCTCATTTATTCATTAATTCATTCAATTATTCATTCATCTATTGAACTCCCATAGGGCCTTAAACATCATTCAAGGAGGTGGTGAGGACAAAACAGACAAAATTCTTTCCAGGCTGGAGCAAAATGGGGGGGAGGGGGGAAGCAAAAGAATGAACAAGATCATTCTGGAAGGGGGTAACTGCTGGGAAGAAAATAAAATAGAGTGAAGAGGAGTAAGTGCCCCTCTTTCAAAACATGAGTCATAAAAACCCTTCTAATCAATGCTGCCACCTTCTCCTGGGGCCGTGGGCACCTTATCATGCTCTAGCAGAAGATGCAGGGAGGAGGGACTCCTGCCGGTGGCCCTGCTCTCTCAGCAGTTAACCTAGCCATTATTGAGTTCCTCCTGTATGCACCAGGCCACCCTCCCGGGATTAGACAGACCAGGTGCAGGGGTGGTGTAGCAGGGCGGAGGTTCTGTGTGCTCTTGGGCGCGTCGCTCCCCCTCGGGGCCTCGGGTCTACAGAAGTAACTAGCGGTTTAGAGTGGGTTATCCAGCAGTCTGGCTGCCCTGACCTGCAAGCCTGAGCTCCTTAAGGAAATACCATTTAGTGTTGTCCTCCCAACAGCCCCCAAGGTGAGAGTGCGCGCATAGAGGTGTTTATCCCCATTTCACAGATGAGCAGAATGAAGCTCAGACAGGGGTTGTAAGTCTTGCCAAGCTGCGCGGCGCTGACCCGAGAACTGACTCGTATCTTCAGCCCCCCGCCCCCGCCTCCGCCTCCGCCTCCGCCTCCGCCCTCGCCTCCGTCCGGGGTTGGCGCGACGGCCTCTGCCCCTTTAAGAACGCCCCACGGATACAAGCAGGAAGGGGGCGGTGCCTGTGCCTGAGACGGATGTGCTCTCGCACCAATGGACGCTGCAGTCACTGCGGCGGCGTCCAATGGGCGCGGTGAGGGCGGTGCCGGGCGCCAGAGCCTGGTTCCCGAGGCGCGGCGGCCGCGGCTGGGGGCGGGGAGGGGGGGCGCAGGACCCCAGGCTGGGGTCC